GCTTACAGTTCACAAGGGGACTTGCTGGCTGGTTTTTGCAGGTTCTGATACTAAAGGGATTGTTATATTCATTAGGTGGTGGGGAAGCACCACTTCTTGATATCGTGGCATATGGTGGGTATGCTTTCACGGGGATGTCCTTGACTATGTTGGCCAGGCTGTGCTGGAGCTACACGTATTATTTTCTGATGCCATGGATGAGTCTCTGCATGGGGGTGTTTTTGGTGAAGACGATGAAGAGGGTGCTTTTCACGGAAATGAGGAGTTATGAGAAGCATTCGAGCCGGCAACACTATCTGCTGCTCTTCATGGCAATTGCTCAGTTCCCTCTATTCTTCTGGCTCGGCAAAATAGCAGCATAAAGTTTTATATCCATGATTATTGTTTAGATGATGTCAATATTTATTTCCCTTTATTTGTTCCTTTAAGGGAGAGTATCTGTGTTGCTCAAAATTATGCAAAAAAGGGAAATAATCTGCTCAGAACAGATTGAATTCTCTTCATGTCTTCAGATGTGGTGATGATGGTTGGGAGTTCATATCTTTGAGAGAACCACTGGAAGACTTCTCAGATGGTGTGACCTTTCTCAGGGATCAGTTTGTAAGCCTGCAAGTTCTAAAGAAAATTGTTATGATTGGATATTGCGATGCCATCTTTTGAATTGGATTTCAAATATTTTTGTGGGTAAAATGATAAAAATACCAGAATCAGATGTGAAATAAGTTTGGATTATGTAATGATTAGCTGAGCTTTAAAATGAATATGTTGTACGTATAACATCTTTTGGGATGGTAAATTGTTTTAATCCGCTTAAATCAAATTGAGATAAGGACAAATATAAACATGTAAAACAGATATCTAAGATGGATGGTGTAATCACGAGCTCAATCTTTTCAATGATGATTAGTCAAAGTCAAAGATTTGAAGGATGATATATTGTTTTTTATTTTTGAAGATTTTACTAAAAAATTAATAATGTGGTTTTAGTGAATGGCGCTCACATATTTATTTATTTTATTAGAGGATGAATCCAAAAATATCTTTCAATTAGCTTGATTTGACTCCAGGATTGGTTCGATTCAATCTGAGTCTTGATCTAGGTTGATTGGATTTTGGTTGGATCCTAAGCAGGTCGGATTGGATTTGAATCAAAACGCATGGGAGACGGATCAACGAAGGTTACACTCTTATGAGCGATAGTAACGAATAACGATCCTCTTCTCTCCGACGATGAACAATGACAACATCCTCCCCTCTCCGATAGTGATGGCATCATTGAGGAGTGACGACCTCATCTCATCCCCAACGACATCAACCAAGTCACCTCTTCAATGACCTCATCTCCTCTTCAACGTGCGATTCTTTCTTCAATGGGCCATGACATCACCATTCACAAAAGTAAGATATTGAAAAGAACCAAAATTTTGAAACTATTGCTAATGCTCCTCAAAACTTTGTAAGATTGAGAAATTTAATTATTTAAAAATTTAAAATTATTTAAATTAATTTATTTTACTTGTTGAGATCACTATAAATAGTCATGCAAATAAAGAGAAAAGTATAGTAAGTTTGATTATGGATGTTATATATTGGTGTAAACATAGATACCAAAGCATCCATATTCAACGATTTAAAATAATTCATATCCAACTAAGCATCCAATACCTTCATAAATATTATATGAACAGTAACTTAGGGTCCAATACCTTTGGAAACGACACGATAGCCAAAAAAAAAAAGAATTAATGAGTTGAATAATCAAAAAATAAGTGTCATGACTAATGTACCTTAGAAAAAAAATCTCATATTTGGCCCTTTATTGACTATAAAATAAGAAAAAAAATATAAAAATAATACAAAACATGTTAAAACATGATATCATGATTTTAAAAAAGTTTAAATAGATTTAGAAGTAATTGAAGATATTCAAACTTAAGTTACATAAGTTATACTCGAGTCACATTAAACAACATATTCAATATAGGAATCCTTTATTTCTTCAATTAATGATTAAAAAACTAAAAAAATATAATAGCTATTATAAATATTTTATTATAATATTAAATAAGTTTGAGTAGGTCTAGGAATAATTGAAGATATTCAAACATAAGTTATACTTAAGTTACATTGGATCACAGATTTAATGTAGGAATCCCTTATTTATTCAATTAATGACCCAAAAAATTAAAAAATAATATAATGACCGTTAGAAATATGTTATTATAATTTTGATAAAGTTTTAGTAGGTTTGAGGATAATTGAAGATATTTACACTTATACTCAAGTTATACTATATTATAGATTCAATGTGAGAATCCCCTATTTCATCAATTAATGACCAAACAATAAAAAAAAAAACCAATATAGTAGTTGTTAGAAATATGTTATTATAGTTTTGGAGAAGTTTTAATATGTTTGGAGATAATTGAATATATTTACACTTAAGTTACGTTTAAGTTATACTTGGGTTACACTCCAATTACGTTACATCACAAATTCAACATAGGAATCCCCTATTTCATTAATTAATGACTTAGAAATTAAAAATAATTATAGAAAGTGATACTAAACATATTAAGGTATGAAAGTTTTGATAGCTCTAGGGATAATTTTTCTATTTACACTTATGTTATGCTAAAGTTATATTCAATCACAGACTTGATTTTAATTTATTTAGTTAGGCATACTGCTTTAATATATTTTGTGATGTGTCTATGTTTGAATTTATCCTTTTTTTTATCCCACAAATTTTGAATATAATATCCCCTATTTATAACCTATAATTTTTTATGTATAAGAGAATGATGCCATTACACAAATCTATATTGCCCTTATTACATGCAATATATATCATAACTTAAAGATTTATATTAATTATTATTAAGTTATATGCAACTAATTAAAATTTATTTTTAGATTTAATGTCGAAGAAGCTTTAAACATCCATTCCTCATTCACTCCATGCTATATTGCCCTTTGATACATCCCCTCCTCCTTCCTCATCTGTCTTTCCTCAACTACCTCTAAACCCATTTTATAATCCATAATCAATAGTCATTGTTACATCGACTATTTTAAATATTATTTTTTATTAATCTAGTGTTAGGTTTTGAGCTGACCTGATTTACATTTCCCTTAGGGTTTGTTATCGCAATATTTATCCAAGAATACCTTTGTGTCATGATTGAATTTAACCCCAACAACATTGCTTTAATTTTAGGGGTTTCCAATCGTGGGGAACTAGAGATATTGAAACTATAGATTTGGGTTATCTTTTTGAGAATTTCTTTAGAGAAACAATCATTTCATAGTTGTGAACTTTCAAGTCTCTTAAGAAAGATATTAACTTATCATAAAATCCATCAAAGTCTTCACGACTTCATTCAATATGTTTTTTATATGAAACTACCAATCCAAATCTTTCTTGTATGTTCGTAATAATTACCTTCGAAGCGTAATATTTATTTGTAAGAACTTATTCTTTGATTTCTTGAGCTATAGATTTGCTAGTGCAAGATGGATGACCTCGATTCTCTCTAAACATATTGTATTGTTGCTCGTTTATAAACTTTGTAATCCGACATATATCACTGCCACGAGCAATAATCATCCATCTAAAATTCTCAACCTTATATCGCTTCTACAAACTTGAATTTTCATTTCAAAATTCATCCTTTTAACAAATTCTTGCAAAGCTCTTTTAAGCTCTAAGATATCTTTAAATACCTACAAAACATGGACTCAAGTGTCAAATATCACAATAAATCTTTATATTTCATATTGTCATATGAACAATAGCAAATTTCATTTCATTTGGATATGGAGTTAAAATATTAATGTTAAAGTCATGTTCTTCTACAACCCTCCTCCAAGATTGAAATAGATCAGCTCACCAATAATATCATGGGCATCAAATGTATAATGATCTACATCTTCTTCTTCGATTTCTTCTAGTATTCTCTACTTAGCCCACTCTTCTTTGAATATCTCATAACTATTTTCATTATCATTACAAATGTTTTGTTTAAATTGAAGCTAGTAAGTTTGAGGTTGTGCAAAGATCCTTCAATTTTTTCTTCTTACTCATGGCCACTTGCAAAAGCAAAGTTTGATGATTTAAGTTGTGTAGAGGTAGATCTTTCAACTTGGTTTTAAAATTATTTCTGATTTCACTATTGACAAAGGTGTTGTTTCATTGAAAGTATTCATCTAATCTAGAAAACTGAATATTTCATTCGAAAGTGAATCATCTGTAATAAGTTACTCATATTTAAATAATATTTGAAACTAATAGACAAAACTACAAAGATATCCTCGTTTAATACTATATATTTTTTATTATTATCAAGGTGATGCTTTAATGATACTACAAATATTTTATTGATACTATAAAAAGTCATATAGTGATTCAACTAGGTTGCAAAATACTATACGATGATACAACAATGAAGTATTGATCATCGACATGGCACAAAGCTTAATACTCAACTAATGGCCATGGCGACAATGAACAACAGAAAGATCGATGTACCTTTGTCCACCTCCAACCCCATTTGTGATGACAATTATAACCCCCTTCCTCTCGACAATCGCTTCTTGATGAAACACAACAACAATCGCTTCTTGGTAGGACTCGACGATGATGACACCATCATTGAAGCTCGATGCCTTATTGGCGAGAACCACAACCTGATGGCTAGGGCTCATGATGAATGACGACGATGATGATTATATTAAATACTTAAAAGTTATATTGAAAAGGTTTGGTTCAATAAAATTGGTTATTAAGAGTATTTTGCTCTTATTATGTAAATAGGGGTACTCCTAATATTAAAAAAAAAAAAAAACATGAGGCGTCATATGATAAAATCGTTAGGGGATTCCATTGGCACCGCTTGATTATAGCCATCCTTTCATTTTGTGGCCATTTGATTGTAATCGGACGGCTCATAATTTTCTCATCGCATATTAAATCCGGACATTCATGTCGATAAGAAACTTGAAACTAAATCTCGTGACGTCTTCTCGGCTATACAAACCCGAGTCCTCGCTTCCCGAATACCCATTTCACCGCTGCGCCTTTCTAGGGTTTCGTCCTCCTCCGGCTCTTCACTTGCGTCGCTATTCGCCATCATGCCTCGCCGAAGCTCTGGTGGTACGTGTTTGTCTTGAATGCCTTCTATCCGTTCTCTCTAGAGCTCTCTAGGGCTCTGGATCATCGCCGGATGCCGTGTTGCTTTGCTTTTGGCCTCCCTCCTCACCGAATTCATGTCGATTTCCACTCGTTGGGCCATCAAATTCCTTGCGTTTGTGTTATGATCTGATGAGATAATATATATGACTTCGCTCGATTCTCTGTATGCTATTCCTTATTAGTAAGGCATCTTCTTTTTAACTCTTTGTACATGGTAATCTCTTTTATATAGTGTTATCGTTGTCTTTCAGGTTTAGTCCATTTGCTGCCTTCTTTATTTCTTCAATAAAAATAGCATTGGTGTAGTTGATTTGGGAGTACTAGTAGCCACTGGCATATTTAAATTTTATTTACATACATAAATTATATTGGAGTTGCTTCAGTCTAGTAATTGGCATGATTTCCTTTTCATGCAGCCAAAGTGAGGTATTACGGGTAATTCCTCCAATAAATAGTTGAACACTTGAAATTTAACCTGGTACTAAGTATACATTATAAAAAGAATAATTTGGTACGAGGATAAATTGTTGAAAAATTCATAAAAGTGGATTGTGGAAAGTTTTGTGTATATAATTGGTAGTATTGATGATTACATGGAATCTTTAATTATCTTGGTTGTGGACCAACAAAAAAACCTATCTAATGATATAGGTGAAGCATCCGATAGCCAAAAAAATACATCAATTATGTGGACCAATAACTTGTTAGACCCCACATTTGATTCACCATGTATGAAAACAATCAGTTGTTCCCCAGGTGCAACCATCATGGAATGCTGATTTTGTGAATGATTAACATTGATTATGGCAGATTGATGATTATTTACAGGAGACATAATTATCTAACATTGTTGGGGATATCTGGTTTGCGTTGGAAGTTTGTGGCATAATGGCATGAATCTGCTGATAAGAAGTAGCAAGTGATGTGTTAACTACTTTGATGTTTAAACAGGAGCCTAGGTTGCAAGTACTGTGTTTCTGTGGAGGCATGAACCTTGTGATGTTTCTTCACCATATTTCTAGCGTCAAAGGCTTATGTTCCTTGTATGATTACAGAAAGGTAGTGATCATACTGTTTCCAGGGGCTAAAGTAAAATGAGCAGTACAGCAGTGATTGAATGTTGTGGTGTATTCATTGTGTGATAAATTATATACTTGGGTACAGATGTTGGAGTACCTGTGCCTGTTCGTCAGTTGCCTGATAACTTTTCATCGATTTCTTCCTATGGCTGTTAATGGACAAGACCATAATGGAATGTTTCATGATTTCAAATACTGGTTGGTACATACTTTTGTTTCATTGTTTCAAATACCAATTGGACCAGTATGTACTGATCGGCTTTAGATATATAACCAGATACCACAAATTGGTATACCACCTTCTGCATTGGTGCCATACATGTCCGACAAGTGTTGGAACTCGTGTGGGCCTGTTATTTAAAATCTTGGTTTGTGCATTGAAAATTTTTGGGTTAACAATTAGGTCAGGGACATTTGAAGATGATGATGTCTTTATAGCCAGGTAAAGGATATGCTGAAGTTAAAGCTAACAAAAGATGTGCACAGGAAACAAACAATACATATGAGATTTTCAAGATAACTAAGTAGAGGGAAGGATGGTGCCACTTAGAATTGTAAGGTCTCCTATTGAATTGGAAGCAGGCGTAGCATTATTTAATAAATCTATGACCTAGAAGATGAGGCAGTCTTATATGTCTCAGGGTCTTCTACGCATGGTAATGACAAAAGAAAATAGAAAGAACTTGGAGGACTAGTATGAGTTTGCATTGAGGAAAAAGAATTTGTGTATTCTAGATTTTGTCTATGATGGGATCCTCTTGTGATAAGAAGGATTTACACTTGATGCAAGAATGATGTGGTAGCAAACCAAATGCACTTACCACTGTTCTTTCTTCATTGAGAAAATCACTACTTCTATCTGCTGCAACAAAATTCCATAACGATAGATGTGGGAGTGTGCGTGTGTGTGAAATAAAATAGAAGAGAGAGAATCACTACTGCTGTTAACTGCAATAATATTCCAGCAAGATATGTGGGGGATAGTGAAACAAGAGAGAACAGAGAGAATCACTACTGTTTTCAACTGCAATAATACTCCAACAAGATGGATCTATGGGAGAGTGAAATAAGAGAGGAGAGAGAGAGAGAGAGAGATAGAAATGACAAATAGGAAGAGAAATATTAGGCTGATTGTAAAACATGTCATCTAACTTCATTTTTAAGTTCCACAAGTTTTTCTTAGGAATATATTTTATACCTATACAGTTATGTTCAAGATATTTCATTTATAACTCTAAACAACCAAGAAAAATATTTGTAAACATTCAAAACAATCAGTTGTTCAATGTAGAAATGTTTAAATTCATCTAAACTTTGTTATTTGAGTGAACTTGCTGATTGAATTTGGACTTGAATGAGAGGATTCATGTCATGACTTGATACTAATTGATTATCCTAAGATAATCTTTGACTCTTTCATAACCTATAAGACCTACTGAGGTTTAAAATTTTGTCAAATACATAAATTCATTTGTATGGCAGTAAAAATAAGAAAATTGCTGCTAAAATAATAGAATGTAAAAGTAATCTGAGACTTGGAGTCTTGGACTCAAGTAAGATTTGTCCTAATCTATACAAATGCTAGACTAACTTATCTACCTCCGACAGCAGATACATCCAATAGTTCTTTTATTCTATGTTTGTCTTCATTAGTGTCCTTTGTTATTCTTGTGAGTAGACATCAATGTATATATGCTTTGACTTATGTGTCCACTTAGATAATTTTGGCATTTGATTTTTTGCAGCTGTTTCTATTTTGTTTTCTTTTTTTTGGTTTTTATTAAAACAAGTTCTTCTATTGCAATTGATTGGATTTCTAAGTTGTCACATTGGTTCTTAAATATAAATAGTTTCTTATCGTTTGAACACTTCATTACTTCCATATTGCTTCTGCATTTGATCTCTTGGATTCTGTGTTTGGTTTTCTTGTCTCAGGCTTCTTATAGGCTTGCTAATCTAATTGGTGATATGAATCTGGTTTTTTTTCTGGTGATTTTTAGGATGCAATATATTGGTTGTATGTATTGCTTAATTACATTATTTCCTTTATTATGCTACTGAATTGTCCATCATTTAATACTCAGATAATATGTAGGTCGTTCAGCCCCTCGTGCTGCTCGACGTCCTGCTCCTGTGAGGAACCCACCCCAACCTGGTAATACTTGAATTTAAGTTAGTATTGTTATTGAATAATTAAAATATGTGCAATGTGTTTTTACATCTGATGTTGTCTTATCTTATGTGGTTATTTGTTGAAGCTACATTATTTTTTTTTTCATAGTATTAGAATCGAAGTTTTTCATGCAAACTTCTTGTGTGTGTTTTAGTATTTGGATAATTATTTTTAATTTAGATTTTGCTTTAACTGTTTTAATTTCATCTAATTTTCTATTTCTAGTATCAAGTGATATCAATCCCATTGATGGTGCCAAGAATCTCCACACAGATTTCACCCATTCACTGCTTCTCGTTTTTGTGCATAAGTTATTGCAAGAACCAATTAGAAGACTGGCAAAAATTAAATAAATTGTACAATAGTCGATCAATTGATAATTGAAATGGAATGACAGCTTGAAAGAGAAGTTTGATTAGATTAATTATTTTAATTGTTTGAACCTTTATTATGCTTTCTGATATTTGTGAACTGTGATATGTGGCAGTCAGGACATTAGTTTAGTGGTGGCAATCAACTTAACAGTTTCTGATTTGTTTTGATGCAGCACGTCAAGCTCCGCCTCCAGCTCCTGTTCAGGGTGGTGGATCTATCCTGGGGGGAATTGGATCCACCATCGCTCAAGGTTATGATGTCATCTATCTGCTTTTCCATTTCACTATAATTCTGCATTCTAAATCTGTGGACAGATCTTGCTCATATGGGATGTTGTTTACCAGGTGTGGCATTTGGCACGGGGAGTGCCGTTGCTCATAGGGCAGTCGATGCTGTTATGGGGCCTCGCACCTTCCAGCATGAGACCATTGCATCCGAAGCTCCTACTGCAGCAGCACCTGCCAACCCAGTGAATTATTCTGGCACAGATGCATGCAGCATCCACTCGAAGGCTTTCCAGGATGTACGTGTTCTTCTGATCTCACCTTTTCTTTTCTCTCTCTCGTCTACTGCTGTCTATTTTTTTTTGTTGATGAGTTACGAGTCTGCTGTGTCCGAAGTTACCGTTGTTGAATGTTTGAAACTAAAGCTTCTGTTTCCATTCTACAGTGCATCAACAACTATGGCAGTGACATCAGCAAGTGCCAGTTCTACTTGGACATGCTGAACGAGTGCCGCAGAGGATCTGGTGCCGCTTGATCTCTTATTATTTCAGACTTGATGATCTAACAATAATAAACCCTGGTGTCAAGAAATGACTTGCAACTTACTTTGTCTTACTTAGTATGGTCAATAATAATAAATCCACTACTTTGTTTCAAGTTCATTAAATTATTCTTTTAAGTTGCTTTTGTTTTTAACAATAATTGTTGTCCTTTACTACTAATTCTTTCACATTCATCAGCCTGGATAGATTGAGAAAGTAGGATGGTTTTAAGTTCATTAAATAGATCCTTCTAACTTGCTTTTGTTTTTCAACAATAATTGTTGTCCTTTACCACTAATTCTTTCACATTCATCAACCTGGATAGATTGAGAAAGTCAGATGGTAATTTGTTTATTATAAATGACATTATAATGATTATACAGGTCAATGACCATTTTTCAAACTTTGATGTTTTTTTCTTTAACCAATATTAATATTTAAATATGCATAATTATTATAAGAACCTAAATAATCATTTAAATCATCTAATCTACAACTAGAGGACTAAAGATAGACGTAATAAGGTAAATAGGTGAAATGTAAGTTACATCATTTTCATTGCCTAAATAATTAATTTTAACTTGTTATCCATTTTATATTCTTTTAAAATACTAATAATATTAATATATTTAATTATAAGTAAATGATAAATATCAGATAAGGGCAGGATGACAACGATGGGATTACCCTAAAAAAAATTAAAAGCTTTGAATTCATCACATTAGGGCAAGACGACAAGGATGAGATTACCTTCACCATCATATCATTCATGAGGGTGAAGGTAGAGACAACATATAAGACCGACCGTAACGAGGGTGAGGGTAGGTAGAGACAACATATAAGATCGTAACGAGATAAAAGTCAAAGATAATTTTATTTTTTAGAGAATAAAAAAATAAAAACTTTGAATTTGAAATTTGCCCTGTATGTAACTCGTGCTGCTTTGAGACGTGACCTGCGACCTCTCGTTCTCGTGCTCAATGGCCTCCTTATTCTCCTATCACCTCCTTTTTTTTCTTTCTTCCTCCACCTGCTGTTTCATCTTTCCTCTCATCTTCCTGCCTGTAACGAACCTACACATAGCAAATTATGTTTTTTCTATAAATTATGTTTTTTCTATAAAGTCGAGCAACTGAAACTGAAACCGCAAACCTTGATTATGTTTTTTCTATAAATTATGTTATAGCAAACATTATAAACATCAAAAAGTAAGCACACTAAAATTAGGCTAATTATAAATTACCCCTATAGTTAAAACTCCTTAGTATCCCAATCTCTAGACTTAAAAAATTTATATTAGATTCACTGTGGGTAACTGTTATGGATGAAAAAAATGACGACAAGATGTGTGAACCACTTTGCATCTACGTCGATACCAACGTAATTCTCAAGCGACCCTTACATTACTATATATCGACGACCATTTTGCTACTTGGTAACTATGTCGACACTAATGTAGACGCGGAGAGATGAAAGGGTTGCTCAAGTGATTGTTATGGATGAGAAGAGCGACGATAAAGGTAAAGGCCACTTTGCATCGCATCAATGTTGATGCAATTGCTGAACGACATCGCTCTGCATTTGCATCGACGTCGATGCAAATGTTAAGCAACAAAAGGACAACTCGATAACTGCATCAGTATCGACACAGATGTAGAGCATCCATCAACTCTCGTCGTCGTTTTTCTCATCCACAATAATCACGCGTGACCCCTAGCAATATCGTCCTCCGCCACCATCGACATCGTTCACCACCACCAAATGTTAAAATTTTTTACTATTATTTATTTTTAATATTATGATAAATGAAGCTAAATATTTTACTTTCATAACTATAAAAATCTAGATATTAAAAAAATCTACCTATAAAAGATAATCCATAATTAACTCATGAAATTATGTTATAGCAAAGGGGTAAGATTGATTGAAATTACTCGCATATATAAGTTGTTATGAAACACACAATCGTACCTACGGAAGCATCCACTAGCTATTGCAGACGATGACATGCATCCCCCTTCACAAGTCGTTTCTACATTATCCTGGCAAAGGATGCCTTGATAAGGAAAAGCTTGTGTGCAGTATTATCCTATAGGCTCGGGCCGCGAATAAGAAAACATGCTAATGTGAAAATGAAAGAGAAGCAAATTCCACCAATATTGTACAATGTTTTCCTACCAAATAACATTACTCTTATTTATTATTTGATATCCTGCAAACCAAGCATAAGCATGAGATCCGCAGGAGTGGCACGGTGCAGAGCAGAGCAGGAACAACGCGATCACGATTTATGCGATGTAGGCATTGCTAGTGAGATCCCCTGGCCAGGCGCATCCTTCCACTGTTGAGTCACCGTCTTGAGCTGTGTGTAAAACTGTACACCTGCCTTGCCTGCAAATAGGATCACACTTGGTCAAGGAATAAACAGTTTCTGAATTTTTATGCCAGAGGGTCCTTCTAAACTTGTCCTAATTAATGCATGCAAAGTCATACCATAGAAGTTGAGATCCCCAGCAAAAGAGGCCTTGGAGCCGGTGAATGAGAAGAACGGCAGAGGTACAGGAATCGGCACATTGATACCAACCTTAATGCACATTATAAAACATGTCAGGTAAAGGAAAAGGAGTCCTACCAAACTATTTATATTTAGGACTTTTTACATAAACCGGAAGCAAAGAAGGATTCATAAACCGGAAGCAAAAAAGGATAGGTGTGCAAATTGTGGAGCCTATTAGTATAGGTAGATATCTTGTTGCCTACAAGCCTAACATGAATGACTGCCCACACTCGCAAAAACAGAGCCATAATCTAGAGTTTGTATGGACTTATGTGCAACCAGCAGAAAAAGATCATAGTGAACATCATGGCAGCATGGCACGTGATATCCATGAATTTTTCAGTAGAACATAATATCCATGATCTATACCAATTATTATATACGAACTCTTCGCAAATTCATTAATTTCCTTTGTGATTTTGAATAAGGTTTAGGCAGACACAAAATCCATGTATTAAAATAGTACAACCTACCTGTCCAGCCTCAATCTCAGTCTGAAATTTTCTTGCAGCAACACCTGATGTTGTAAATATGGATGCCCCATTACCATATCTGAGATATCGAAGAACCATTCAGTTAAATCAGCAGTGGTTACCAAGTCTTGAAATGAAAAATAGAAGTAAGCTTTACTTGTTACTATTGACAATATGGATAGCCTCGTCAAGGCTGTCAGCCTGTCACCGAAAACAAAAAAACTGTCAGATCTAGAGAAGAAAAAGAACTTTAAAGTAATAAAATGAATTTTACCTTCATCAAGAGCAAAACTGGACCAAATATCTCCTCCTGTTAAATTTAATAAAACAATGAAATTAAACTTCGATATTGTTCATCAAAATGGAATAATTCCACCTGGTGTGATTTCACCAATGATACAGTTGTTTTTTGTATATGTACACTTGAAATAAAATGTATTGGCATATGTAACCATCGAAAACTGGATTATGCATTCCTCTTATTGCAAATATAAACATCCTAACACGCTCCTTTTCCATTTGAACGATGTTGGGTGGTATAAGTTACATAAGTCAATGATTAATCCAACAAATCACTTACTATGCTACCCCTTATAATATTGTTCTTTGCTAATGACCCTCTGGTTGCTTTTCATGTTCCCTCCTCCAGTACACCAAAAACAAGTCATGGGATATAAAAGGAAATTAGATTTGTGAGCATGTCAAGCCTGTCTGCCGCCAAGCCCTTCACTCCTATTTCTTCACACTGACACCAGCTCCTTTTCTCTCTCATGGTTTCCTTTACTTTCAACTGTCAGCATGTGATGGTACAACTGAGCTGACACGCCTGCTCACCTTTCAGTAAGTTCACATCCTTAAACTAAAAAGTAGTTGATAAAACTTTTTTGCAAATGACTTTTGTTCTAATACACACAATGTCATTCAAGATAGCAAATGGAGGAGCTAATGAAGGTTTCTAACTATATAGTTATACATATACAATTCAATTTTAGAGCGGCATATATGCAAATACATTGTGCATGTAGCCAAACCCATATAGTCGGGACCTTACAGCTAATACTTTAGACGGCCATGCATGCAAAACCACATTATTCAAGTACTGCTTCAAACCAGATCAGACTTCGTAACAAAGAAAATTGTTCACATTTTTATGGTTGCACTGGAACAACTGGCAAAGAGGAAACAGGCAACAGTGAGGGCGAGAAATATGTACCTTGTAACATTCCATGTCACTTGTAGTATCAGCTAAAATAGTAGGACCAACGAAGTTGCCATTTTCAAGACCACGAACCTAACAGAACAGGATCAATGATAATTATTAGTTGACCATCGATTAGAATACAAACAAGAAACTCTCAACTTAATTATCACTTTCAAAAGCAACCCCTTCGACACCATTTGGTAGATAACTACCTCAACAAAATAGTGACCTAAGCACTTTATTTGCAATATAAACAAGCAACTCTCAACTTAATTATCACTTTCATACAGACTAAGCAACCCCTTGGACACCATTTGGTAGATAATTGCCTCGGAAAAAAATAGTGATCTAACCACTTTATTTGCAGTATAATTTTACAGAAAGAGAGAGTTTATTGACCAAAAATGCAATAGAGCTCTTTCTCTAGTCCAGACAACAACAGCATTTAGCAACTAGGATCCCATTCCATGTATACTAGGCTTGTTACTTGTTCCAAAGAGACACACTTTTACTAAGTGGTAGGGTCACCTTAAGGTAAACCCAGTGCTCAAAACTTTCTTTGCAGCATTTCATGCAGGTATTTTTGTTGGGTTCTCATCTTATAGAATAAAAATCTGATAATCAGCAATGTGATGAAATATTGAAACTTAGCATGAAGTAGAACATGTCAGTTAAATGCGAAAGAAAAATAGTATTTCATGATGAAATGCTCAACATGTGAGACATGCATACCACAATGTCTCTGCCATCAAGTGCAACCCTAGCACCACTTTCTACACCACTTTGGATTAATTTGCAAATCCGATCCTTCGCCTGCCACACAATGGGCAACAAATTTCAAAAGGGTCAGAGATTGTTTATGAGAAAAGTAACAAAATGTCAATC